ATATGTATTCATGTCAAATTTTTAATATACTCAAGAAGATACAAAGCTCTTGGTACTTGCTTTTTTTTTTTTTAAAGTTTTAAATTTTTTTTACAAAAGATTTTAGATGTTTACTATTACAGTAATATTTTGGGGGAGGTGAGGTTGTCGGATATTTCCCCTTTTTAATTACAAAGGAAATGGCAGGCACTGAAAACCGCAAATGATGGTTGCTAGATTCAAAAATGTGCTTTCCTGTCACGCTGTTTTTAGGAGCTTGTTTAAAACTAAATGTGGCAATCAAAGAACAGTGGCAACCAAATGAAATCGGCAAAAGTCCTCTGACGCTACTAGTGAGACATTTGCTTCGTATTCTCGTCTGCTGCCCTCCCTTGACCAATGCCTGGAGAAAACCGGTGATCTGAAGTCATTTAGTTCACGGCATTACCAGATACCATATATGCAGAGTAGGTTCTCGTGAGGTGAAAATTCCCCCTTACACAAAGCAGGCCTTGGCCTCTGAGAGGAGAACTGCTGCACAAGGGTGATTTTCACGCCAAACGAAATACGTAATCTCAAAACAAAACCAAAGGAACACAGAAATCATGATGATGATTTAAAAAATGCCAAACCAGTTCCCTTTGTGGCATTTTTCATCAGGGTCTATAGCCCAAAGCAAACATGGATCCAACAGTGATGAATTTACCATCAAATATAAGTGACAGACCCATCTAAAATTTATAGCACGTTCAAAATAAGACACCCTACAAAAAAGCTCCTATTTTCTTCCAATCTGTTAACAGCTATAGCAAAAGAAATTGTTAATCATCATCAATGCAACACTGGTACATTTAAAACGTAAAAGCTCCTTATTGCAATCTCTGAGAACAAGAAAAGAAAAAGCCAGCCAACTCCATTTCTCAGCATAGATTTCTGAACCAGGGACACTGAAACCTTCAATAAACTGCTTTTCAATACGTGGAAATAAAAACAGAGCCGTTACAGAATTCAAAAGGCAGAAGTATTGTACACCAGATTATAATGATAATATAGCACTGCGATTGATATAGCTTACTCTAAAAGCAGATTATACAGCTTGCATTAATTTTGTCATCCACTCTCCAGTTCCTTTGACCAGCGTTTAATAGTTTTTGTTCTGCGTTTTCTCCCTTCATCAAAATCCAATAAACCCACTCAACAGTCCTGCACTTTCTGTGGAAATAATAAGGAAAACCTAAACATTTTTCAAAAAGCCTTTAGAAATGTTAGATTCACAGTTCAAAAGAAATCCCCCCAAACAAAAAAACAAAACAATGAGCCCCAAACCGGAAAAGTGCTATTATCTTCACGGCTACACCTACGATATTATTTCAAATATTCTGCAGTTTCTCTTCCACTTGTGAAGCTGCCGCCTTCGCCGCCGCACGACCTTCACTTCTCACCCTTGGCACTACCACACCTAAGTCACCGAAGAACGCAGCCGGCCAGATGGAAGCTTGGATTCTCTTTTCCTGCTTGCTTGCTTGCTTCTTGCAGGAGCGGGAGGGAGAGGGAGGCGGTGGCTGTTCCTGGTGGGAATGTAACCGAGTTCAAAAGCAAACTGGCTGTAAGGCATGGTGCTCCGGGGCTGGCAATGGCAGTCAGCGGTGGCTTCTCCCCACGTCCTCCTGGAATCTGCAGCCTGGTCAGTGATGCAGCGCCCTCCAGATCTGAATGGCAGTGGTGACTGATGAGATCCTCTGTGTCGATTCAATGGTTGTTTCTCCCCCTCAATTAAAAAAAATGTGGTTGGACTCTAGCCCTGCAAAATAAACCCAAAACTGATTAATACCGGCAAGTAACGGGACCTCGGTGATCTCTGTCATCACCAAGTGACTGGAAGTGCCAACCTGTCCCCAAAATGTGGGTTCCTTGAAGGGTACGACTGGGAGAAACCGAGCACAGGCTTCATTTTTCGAAGTCTGTACCCCACCTGCAAGCCTCCGCTGCTCGGAGGGAGAGCGCAGGAGCGAAGCGTACAGGCCCTACGCACACGTTTGCCTCTGCGCTTTGGCTAAGCGGCAAGGCTGAGCACGCCGTGCTGACCAGCCGCGGGGGGCCAGCGGTGCCGGGCTCTGCTCCGCGGCTGCCTAAGGGTACCTGGCCATGCTGAAGGACTGCTCTGGGCAGGTGCTTCCAGCCCAGGAACAATCTGTGAACCCCCAGCACCCATACTAGACTCTTGAAAGGAGCGGGGGGGTGGGGGAAAATCCAACCCCAGCACCAAAAACCATGTAGGAGTTTCCTCTCTCGCTAACGCAAGTGGTTTCTACCTAGAATTATGGGGGTGGATGATGCTCCATGTTTTGGACTTTGGGCCTTTAAAGGCCTGTTGTCCACTCTGATGGGAAAGCTGCCCAATGCCTTCATGACAGTCGCTAAGATTTTCACGCTGCCGTAGCCAGGGGCTGTTCCAAACGCGGCATCACGCCTGGCGGAGTGCCCGCAGGTACGGCGGGGCAGGGGGCTGTGCAGCAAGACAGCAGCAGACAGATCAGCAGTGGCGCGAGCCAGGAAAGGCCCGTGACGCTGCCGAGGAACTTGGCATGTGGCAAAGGCAGAGAACTTGGAAGCGAAAAAAGGGCACCTTTCTTCAGTGATAGAAGGCAAAAAAGAAAGGAATTGAGAAGTGGGAGTTGTGGGTCAATGTTCACTGCGTACGCAGAATCATCTCTCCTTGCAAAGTAACTCGTGTGCAGCCAGCAGCTCTCCTGCAGGTGGGCAGGGCTGCGTAACTCACGGGGACATCCAGAAATAGTCAAGGATATGCTTGTCCTTAAGTCTCAGGCTAATCCTTATAACGAGCACAGAAGGGGGAAAAATGATTAGAAGCAGGAACACACTATTCAAATTCATTCCCATGGCCTAACAGCAGAAACCCTCCACATTTCAGCTGACAACCAATCATTCATTATATTAATTTTCTGCCTCATTATTTGACAGGCTATTTTTTAATCAAACAGTGGTGTTTGACTGCATTTCATTAAAGACACACCGAATAATATAAACACCACTTTTTTTTTTTTCAAATGCATTTTCATTTGTCTGAAAGGACCCAGTTAAGCAGTTAGCTTTGAAGAGATTCCACAGCGATACAGATCATGCACGAGACAAGTTAATCACTAGCACCAATTACCATTAAAAGGACCTACCATGCATGCAAATTAGACCCAGGAGTCAACAGGCTGGGGTTTAATGTCACGGGCATCCACCAGATTCACCGAAGCCCTGTTACTCCTGTTAATGTTTTTCCTATTTGTGTCATTCTGCAGCACAGGGTGAGGAGTTAAAGGCAAAACAGAGCGGATTAATCAAACAAAACCACCAAACAAGTCAGCTTAAAGGAGCACAAGGGAAAATTAGTGGTAGAGAAAGAGAAAAGATCAGCAAAGGCACAATACTGACAAAAGCGTCTGCAACAGCGAAAGGCTGCGCCTCCCTGCCAGCGTTATTCACAGCTCTGCCGCTCCCGAGCCTCAGAGCCACGGCTCTCGAACAGCTGACAAGCCAGGAGACCCCGCAGATTGATTTCTGCTTCTCAGCACAGGGAGAAGGAGCAGCTCCGCCCAACCGCGGGCAGGGCAGCGCGTGCCTTGGATGCGCACAACAGGCTGAGTTCGGCTTGTCCTCTGCCCTTAAAACCGAGGCAGCACGGACTATGGGAGACAGTCTCGAGGTGAAATGTTTTTCCTCTTTTTCTCAAAGCAAAGCAGCTGCTCGCTGAACTCTGGGTTGTGCTTCACTTCACACATATACTGGAGTTTGGGGTGCTTGATGTGATTTTGAGGCTTGTATCGGACCACTTTAATGCATTTTGAGTGGCAAAAATAACAAGTATTTGTTAATTTTCCTGCCTTAGCCTATTTTCCTTAGAAAGACATTTCCGTGAAGCTCCTATTGATCAACGTTCTTATGTCACTTAATGCATCCACTCCCACTGCATCCTTGAAAAACGTATCAGAACTGTGATGAGGGGACTAGGAGGTTCATTTCGTTGGCACTGGTTCAGGCAGGGCCATCGCCCGCACACTGGAGCAGGGGGGCACACTGCACCGTGTAAGGAATCAGCTCAGTTTTATCAGTTCCAGGAACAAATGAAGGAGCACAACCACCTCTACCAAAGAGTCCAACCGGGCAGCCTTCACCGGGGTGCAGCTATACCCAGAACCAGCGAATCGAAGAGCGTGATTAAAAAACATCCAGCTGGAGCGAAGCCGTTCCCCAGGGTGTGCCTTCACAGAAAGGCAGGACACAGCCCGAATCGCATGACCGGGCAAGCTAACGCAGGCAGACCAACGCAGGACATCTTCCCAATTCATGACCTACGGAGATATTTTTCTCCAAATCACATTTTTATTTCCCTTGTTCAACAATAGTGGGGTTTCCTTTCAATTGACTGAAGTTTAATTGTTTCCACTGAACATGAATCACCTGGGTTTTCTGATATTATCAGCAACGTGCTGAAGGTTAAGGACAGCCTTCTGCAGACTAACAATAGTGTTTCCTACCACTGACTCTTGTTTCACTGAATCCTCCTCTTCCTCCTCGAAATTACTTCCCCAGGGGAAAACACGAGCTTGTTTTGAGGCCAGGGAGAACTGACAGCCACAGCATTAAGCAACTTTTAAAAAGGTCTGCTGAAAAGGCATAGCAATGCAACAGAAATTACACAGAGCCTACTAAGCCACATTTGCACACAACCCACAATACAAAGAGCTTTGTGAAGGAAGACTTTTTTTTTTTTTAAATTATAAAGTTGTCTAAATTTGTTTTTAGAAGGCACACCCATAACTATGCATGTCTCTCCCTCTCCATCTCCACGGCCCGTGCCCATAGTCCACTGTCAGGACTGTGAACGAGCGCTGGGGAAACGAACGCTGTTCACCGCGCTGCCGTACACAGGCACGCAAGCTCACACCTACTTCTCATGCTAAAACAATAAAGCAGCGTGACAGTCTGAAGGGACTATTCTCGGAACAAAGTCTGAGCACGCTTCTACACTTTAGGGCTAGGGAATGCTGCCTGGACGAGGGTGACAGAACAAACACTTTCTATTTTTACAACCTCATCCATTTACAAGAACACAGTGATTGCCTGCATTTGCTCCTGCACTGGAAAGCAGCATTTTCTTTTTATTTCTAGTTAGCCAAGTGCTAAGTTACAAAATGGTGCCTTAATCTTAAAAAAAAAAACCACCAAAAACAACCCCACCAAACCAAAACAAAAAAAAACCCAAACCCCAAACCCCTGCAACCAAAAAAAGCCCCTTTAAGCCCCCCGGTGAGTAACTACCCTGTACTTCTTGCTGAGGACACCAGGCTTCCTTTCTTTTAAAGGCACTAACTAACGTTCAAGCTCACTTTTAAAGGTTCTTTCTCCGAGGCGTCCCCCGTGTTATCACTGGTCTTGTATTTGCGCTCCTTGTCCCGGTGATCGATGGTGGAGTACCCATCTGAGGAGAAATAACATGACAGTCGGGCATGAAGCACAAGGAAGAGCAAGACCAGAGCTGACCCTAGCTGAATTCTTCAGCAAAGGAACAGGAAAATAAACCATCACAACCCAAAGATGCTGGCAGCCTGCTTTTCACGTGCGCTCCAGCTCTGAAATTTCATTTTTACCAGCTTAAAACAGAAAAGCCCTCTTTTTACATCACTGCCAGATGCTGGCACTCATTAGCAAGCAGCACGGTTTTCACCCCAGCCTGCTGCAGTTTTTAGCGTGCCCAAGGAATGCAGCAAGTTGTCATCTTGCGCCCTGTGGCTAATGAGCTCCAAATTCAGCCCAAATCTTGTGTTCCTTGCTTAGCAGCCTGATTAATTGGCTGTGTTCATTCTCCGAATGCTCTGCAGCATGCTCCCACTCTTCCCGAGCCTGACAACTAGGATGACATGATGATAATTTGGAAAAGTCCCTTTCAGAGCACTGAGAAAAAGGGCCTGTGGAGTCGGAGGAAATCTTGATGCAAACCCTGCTGCGCCGGGACTGTCTGTCATTACAAGGTAGCACCGGTTGGTGCTGCTTCTCCTGGCAACTAAGAAACAATATGAAAGCGTGATGAGCACAAGGAAGAAAAGCGTAAGAGGGTTTTACAAAGAAATGGCTCTAATTATTTCAGAACCTTTGCTTTGAATCATTGTCAGCCAATGCAAATCTTAATTTATTTTCCTGATGCATCAGATTTCCCTCAGTGGCAAACAGATCCTCTCCTGCTCGGCTTTGACAGCACTGTAACCTGGAGTAAATGACACTCAAATTTATAGCTCCTTGTAGGCTTTTGTCTTCCCCATGTAATTGAGGCATCATTGATGTTTTCATGTCCTGACAAACTGGGTTCTTAGAATACCACAAAAAGGTTTTACATAAACTACCAAAACGCTCCTCTCTTGGTTTATTGCCTGCCTGCAATAGGTCATGAAGAGAAAGTCATGTTTTTCGTGGGGTTCCCACGGCACAAAGAGGCACTGTTTGCCCACATGACAAACGCACACGCAGCTGGAGTGGCTTGCACCAAACACAGCCACAGAGTGGGGCCCGAGATGATGTCTACGCTGGCCACAGCAGGGTTAAATTTTAAACGAGCTGTGGTTTTCCTACACATCTTATGAATCAAAGTGCACACAGAGCTGCAGCAAGCACCTGAAGCAGCATGTATTTATGACAGCAGGGATACCAACAGATTGTTTAACCACGCCGCCTAAAAATAACTAAAGAATTTTGGAGTTATACATGTAGTATGCAGATGTTAAAGCATGAAAACAATTGCTACACAGAGCTTTACTTACAATTATTTGTTGACAATGAAGATGCCTAACATTCTTGGCTATTCCTTTTGAACAAAAAAGGAAAAACCTAAAGCCTACCAGCTGCATCCAGCTACCCAGCCAGCATCTGGGGAGGAACACATGACCGATAATTCTCTTTCAAATGACAGGCATGAATAGTGCTAGTAAGTCATACCCTAACCTAAAGATTCATCATTTATTTAGGAGTAAATAGTTCACGCAGGCATGTATTTAAATGATGGAAACACGCTGACTCCCAAAAATAACAAACTTGCAACAACTGAGCGGTAGCTTTTTACAATCTAATAGTAATTATACTCACAATGACGTAACGGATCACTTTGCATTTTTGTAGTGCCATCATCACGGGTGATCCACAATCATTTTTTAAATGAATTGCCAAGATACCAAGGAAACCTTTAACCTACCCCCAGAAAGCAACAGCTAGTAAGTGAAGTGTGGCTGTGACACTTCCCAGGGAGCAAGGCCAGAAGTAAGGACTGTAATCACAAAAAAATTAAAAGCACAACAGATCTTTAATACTACTAAAAAACTAAAAAAAACCTGCTTAGCCAGGACAGCAGCAAGAGGAAGCTCAAGCTTTTGCACAGTGGCAGCAATCTAAGAAGACAGAACGGTCAAGAACTTTGTTCTTCAGATCTCCGTTCCAACGTATTTGCCATTCACACCGTCAGCCCGCTGCTGCATGGTCTGCACGCTAACGGTGCCACACGCATCAGCACCAATGGATTATGCGTTTCCAAAAACCACACGCTGTGCTATGACTCTGTCAAGGTAAGCAGCAGCAGAGATAGCAAGTTCATGATTTGACCTAATAAAATGAGAAATCTATTGAAGGAGGCTGCATCAGAGAAGTAATACCTTGGTGCCCCAAGGACCACGGCTGTCCAAAGAAGTTAGAAAGTGCTGCTTCTCCCATGTTTCAGATTCATTCTAAAAAGTGATCAGAATTAACTCTGGTTTCTGTGGCATAAAGGAGACCTATACAGATCTTACTGCTCCAAGGTAGAAGTGCGTTATTCTGAGTTAACAGAATCCACTGTATAGACAAAAGTTATATTGGTCAGTAGAGGCACGTCCCATCCTTGGCTTGTTTATTCCTCTCTCTCAACTTTCTGCTTGTTGTCTTCTGTATTGCTTCACTGACTACCTCCCATTCACTCTGCAGCAACATTTTAATGTCATCCCAAATTACAGGACCAAACGCCTGCTGAGTGTCAGTCCATCCGTGCCCTCACACAGCTCTCAACTTACAAAGATCAAACCTCTGGACCCATCAAAAAGGAGGAGGAGAATGGAAAAGTTGAAATGGGCATGTAGGACAGGGGCATCTGAACTACGTGTCTCTGGTCTGAACAGTTCTCAGCTCCCAGATGCTCTCGTGTGACTGACTGTAGGTTAACTGAGGCACAGCTACAGTTTTAGAGAACTCACAAATCCGGCATACAGCCTTGAGATCGCAGTTCCGCTGCTTCTACAGACAGCTCAGGGTCACAGCCACCCTCGGGCAGCACCGTGACGACGAGCACTGATGATCTTCAGACTACTCGGTGCCGAGCCACTTGTCTGGAGCTGATGAAGTCCGACAGACCTGAGCTACGTCTGCACTGGGCTGTCTAGTGCATCCCACGGTAACTCATAATACATGCTCTCTTCCATCTCCCAGGACATCCACGCTCTACCCAGGCCCTGCTCTTTCTCCAGACAACAGGAATCTGGCTGGTCTATTCCCGCCAGCCGATGGGGAATGTATCTGCCTGCCTCCCTGGCCACACTGACAGGGAATTAATTTCCTTTATAGAGAAGGATGATCCCCACAGCATTAGCAAACCAGCTGAGATACCAACAGCAATTGTCTTTTTGGAATCTTGAAAAAGCCTCAACATGGGTTAACAGTAAAGGCCCAGGCACCGAGACAGGTGAACCCTGATAAAAAGAGGCAAGAGATGAGTGGCAGCCAGGCGGTGATGCTCTGGAACAAGCCATCTGGTACGCTGCAGGGGACCAGGATGAACACTCTGGCCTGGAAGGACCTGGCTGAATGGATGGGTTCCTCTAACGTGTGTGGGGCGTGGAAATCCACGGAATTCTGCGGTGACACGCTGTAATGCGTTTCAGCAATTACAGTTCAGTACCAAAGCGGTACACCAGAAAGATAACTATGCAACCTGGAAGCATGTGAATTAAATGAAATGAACAACAAAAAGCTGGAGGCAGATGAGAATTCTCTAAAACACGGTGAATATAAAGTAGAAAGATCTCAGGGCAAGTGAAGTCAGGAAGAGAGGAAGGCAAGGGAAAAAACACACAACTGAAACCAAGGCACAGGACCTCCCGCAATAAAAAGAAATAAGAAGACAAGCTGGGATGCCTAACAACTTTCTCTGGTACTCTGTCGTGCATCTTCTTTGCAAGCAAAGTGAGGTCAGCCTCTCCTGGAGGCTCAGCGTAGCCTGGCGTGGAGTACGTGGAGATACAACCAAACCGTGCTTACTGGAGGTACAAACCCAGAGGACTGCATGTTGGTGTTCTGCCAGTTCCCTCCAGAGGGGAAAAAGCACAAAACCTCCAGCATACAACAGTCCACAATGAAGTTAAAATCAGAAAATATACTCCGGAGCAGCTCCTCATGTAAGTCTGCCCATAAGACAAGAAAACATACAGCATTTGGAAGAGATACAGCATTTTGAAGAGCGTGAAGGAAAGGGATGAAGTACTACATTGTTATTCCAGTTCCTTCGAACTAAGGATAGTAAACTGGATAAATTAATTTAGTCCCTTCTCAGCCGACCTCTGAAACAGCACAAAGTTATAGTCATATTGGAGTTAAAAAGCACTTAAGAGCTGGGGTCAGGAAAACTTGACAGATTTCATCTTCTACTAGTGATGAAAAGATTGGAGAATAGAATGGCCCAGAGAATCTGCCTGATGTTGTACATATGCTGTTAATTTGCATTTTGTTTTGTACTCGGAGCTGTACCAGTAACTCCTGAAAGCATAAGGCAACAATTAATATTGAGACTATAAACAACCAGCACTGCCCATGCTGCAGCACCTGCTAGCGCGCAGCGATCCTGCGAGGCAATCTTCTCTGAAGTTATTTTCTTCCACTGTGAGAACAAATGTTCCCTTAGAACAGTGTTCCCCTAGGCAAAATACATATGGACAGTTGATTCATGGCAGGTGGCATCTCATTTTTCTAAGAATACAAAAGGTAATATACACCTGCTATTTTAACTTCTGAACACGCTTGGCTTTCAGCTTGGGTCTAACTTCCTATTTTTTTTTCAGCTACAATCACAAATAGCAGTATATCAAACTGTTTGATTTGGAGGCATTAATACAGGTATTTAAATAAAAATAACATCAACTGCAAGAAGTAAAGCAAATTCCCAAGAGACCACACAGCACCCTTCTCTACCTCAGTAAAGAAAAAACCCTCTACAAGTCTTAAACTACAGAGCTTATCAACCTCAAGGCACTTCATTGACAGCAGGTGGCTGTGCTCAGTCTACAGGAAAAGCCAGGCTTGGCTGGATGCAGGTAAAGGAAAGGTGGAGCCAAGAATATCATTCATACTGACTTATTTTTGGTGTTACCTACAGAAAAAAAGGGCAGAACGGATTCAAACACGAGTGTTGCATTGAAGTAAATTTTCAACTCTTTTTTTTCCTTCTGAATCCCCAGACTTCCAGATCTGCGCTAGGGAATGCAGCTGCCTCAAGGGCCAGAGGCTAGAATGAAAGCTAGGTCGGTGTATCTCCATTATACGCTTAAGGTAGGAGAGAAATTGGTGTGCACACTCCGCATGTGTTTAAAAGAAAAAAAGGCAAAAAAAAAAAAGGCGATGACCAATCTTTTGTAAGGTAATGTTCTGTTTTTAAATGTCAGCTTTACCCATCTGAGAGAATATCACCTAGAGAAATAGCTGAACTTTCCCGTGAGTGACAGTGTGCTCTACTGAAACGGACAGAGGGTTTCGGCGATGACTGAATTTACCTGGGCCGAGTTCATCCATAGGTATCATGTCACGACTCCCAGCCTTCTCATTATCTATAAAACAGAAGCATTAAAACGACTTGAGTTACGTTTACTTTTCTCAACACCTAGTATTTATACTTTAAATACATTTATATATATTATTAAATAGCGTGGCCAGCAGGAGCAGGGAGGTGATTGTCCCCCTGCACTCGGCGCTGGTGAGGCCGCACCTGGAATGCTGTGCCCAGTTTTGGGCCCCTCAGCACAAGAAGGACATTGGGGTGCTGGAGCGTGTCCAGAGAAGGGCAGCGGAGCTGGGGAAGGGTCTGGAGCACAGGGCTGGTGGGGAGCGGCTGAGGGAGCTGGGGGTGTTCAGCCTGGAGAAGAGGAGGCTGAGGGGAGACCTCATCGCTCTCTACAGCTGCCTGACAGGAGGGGGCAGGGAGGGGGTGTTGGGCTCTGCTCCCACGTAGTTAGCGATAGGACGAGAGGAAATGGGCTCAAGCTGCGCCAGGGGAGGTTTAGGTTGGATACTAGGAAATAGTTCTTCACGGAAAGGGTGGTCAGGCATTGGAACAGGCTGCCCAGAGAGGTGGGGGAGTCCCCATCCCTGGAGGTATTTAAAAGACGTGTAGATGTGGTGCTAGGGACATGGTTTAGTGGTGGACTTGGTAGTGTAGGTTAATGGTTGGACTTGATCTTAAAGGTCTTTTCCAACCTAAATGATTCTATGATTCTATTTTTAAATTAGTCACAGGACCAGAGAGGTCCATAAAGTACTGAATGCAGAGACTACTGAAAAAAACCAAAGCCAAAAAACAAAACACAAAAACTAATCCCAAACTATTCAACTGTTACCTGCTCAGAAAGGGGAGTTTGATTTAAGCTCTCCAGAGAGCACATGCAATCCTTCTGTCTTCTGCCTTGGCACTGTAATACAGAACTCCCTCTCTCCAAGTGATAACAGAAACCGCAATTCTGCTTTGGACTACCTACCGCTATTAACAAGCTTCTCTCTGGTCTCTCCAGAATAGAAGAGAAAGGAAAATATGTAAGGGTGCAGCTTCACATGGCACACAATCCAATCTAGCAGCCTGCTGAGCCAACAGGAAGCTAACCCACAAAGAAAACAAGTTGTTTATTGTCAGATCAGCAAGCTGACCCAGTCAGCCTCTGTCTGCACGATCTGCCAGACCCGAGCAAAGACAGGGAAGGTGGAGACAGGCAGGGCAGCGTGGGGCTGTCTTTTCTGCAGCAATCTGCAGTTAAACCAGGTGAAGAACAACGTGGCAAACTCTGCCGTAGGAGACCAGAGATTTCTGAGAAGAAATTCCGACATCTGAGCGTTAGGAACTAGAACCAGATTCAGAGACAAAGCAATCACAATGAAATGAAAGCTGGAGCTACCCCAGCGTTGGCACGGCTGCATCAGGCCCCATGAAAACGCACAGGCAGGTTTAGCTAGTGCTCGGATAAACCACCGCCAGTGAAAAAACCAGCGCAGGAGAGGAAGAAGCGCTGCCGAAACAGGCACATTTATTTAGAAAGGAAAAGGCTCCAGTAGCGAGCAGGGGTAAGGCCAAGCCCGCTGCCTGGCCAAAGGCTGGATTTATTAATATACAACACTGTCAAACAAGGCTGCTCTTTCCCCTCTTTCCAAGTTCCAACTCACGTCTATCCCAAGTTCTCCCAGGAAGACTCAACTGATTATGTTGCACGCGAGTTGAGAAAACAGCATCAGTAGTGTAGTCACAAGGGAGAGAATACTACCCATATCCCGCTAACAGGACTGATATTCTGGGACCGCGGGGTAAAAATCACCACACAAATAATGTATTTTTACCCCCTCACGCCACAACACAGATGTGGCAAATCCAGAAAACAAGCAAGCAAAGCACAACAGAGAAAGTGATAAAGAGCAGAACTGACCTTGACTTTTATCCACCAGAGGCAAAGTGCTGTCGTCATAGCCAGCCCTGCCAGCAGTACCTTTGGAACCCTTCGGAGCTGCAGAAACAGACTACGAGACAAAAATCACATAAATACGAAACTGCTGCTCAGGGAAATCGAACAAGAGAAATAAACAAACCAACAGTATGGAGAGAGATTACGGAATGCTGCTAAGCCCCCCTTCTGTTGATAATATGCCACTGGAGTATTTTTTATTTTCATATAGATTTGTTGGTGGAATTTTTTTCCTGTTATCTAAACAGCAGCACTGCTGGTTTGTGAAAGGAGCAAAACCTTTTCACAAGGAAAGACGAGGAGGCTGCATGGCACGAACAGGCGGCTGCCCTGCGCTGCTAGGTGCAATGCTTCAGATGAGGGACAACCGAGACAAGACACGCTAATTCCTCCTCCAGCGAAGCACGAGCGTTTGGCCTGTACCAGGCGGCACACTTCCAAACCCTGAACAGATACATTTCACAGACCACTGAAAAACATACCCAGCAAGTGCACGCGTGATGCCGTGACTGAACAGATTACCATGCGTTGCTCTATCACCCAGAAGAACAGAACCAAAGCCCGCAGTCTATCAGACCGTACTATTAGACTAAGTTAGGACATCTTCCGCTCGCGCATTTCCACAACTAAACCTAAGACCCAGCATCTTTACCTGGAAGTGTGATTTGTTCCACCCGTCCTTCTGCAGGGCATTTCGTAGTTCTTTATAGCTCCAGATCATCTGAAGAACGTGAGATGCTGCTTTTGTTTCTCTGGGAGACTGGCTGATTTGCAAGACAAAATTAGAGCTTAAGTATCAAGCAACATAAGACTATTCATATGTTGACCTCTTTGCACCAAAATAATGTCCAGGAGATAACCTAGTACTCCATACAGCTGTTTTGAACCTGTAAGCTATAGGATATATATATAAAATCATTCAGTGACTTCCTCATATCTATAGGTATTTGCTGGGGAAAAAAAAAAAAAATCCAAACAAAAGTTGTAAACTGTGCGTATTTCTGGGTTTTCACATGCAGGCAAGCCCTGAGGCCAGGGTGAGACTTCTGTCTTGTAGCTGTCATTAACAAAAACCAGATGGATTCCATCCTGCCTGGATTTGGGGGGGGGGGGGAAACAAACAAAAAGCCCCCAACAAAACAAGTTCTAAGCCACTTTTCAAACCTTCACCCCAACTTACATATACTCCTCACAATTCAATGAGGTTGCTTCATGGTTTAGAATACCTTACAAAGCAATGTGGGTCAGCAAAAAATAAGCTATTTTTAAACAGAAAATGAAATTTTATCCATGCCTTACTAAGTCAGTACACAAGCACCCTCTATAAAATAATACAGGGCTAGATTCTTGGTTGGCTTTCATATTTCATAACAATGCAACCCAATGAAGTCTTCAGCTACTCTCCCAAAAGTTTGCTGAAAACACACCTGTAACATCTAACTGGCTGAACGATACGGAACAAGCTTTTCTCTAAAGCAGTCAGAACACAGTTTTCAACAGAACTGCAGAGTGAAAATTCGTCACTTCAAATTACCACCAGCAGCCCTTCCGCCAGAATGATTACTGCACATCATTAACCATTTTACTCAAAAGAAACAGATTTCATCACTGGCATTCCAGGAATGGAACGCTGCCACAGGAAAAAGGCCTCCCACACTAAAAATAAAGATCACGGTTTCACTGCAAATGATGCCTGCTAAATGCATACATGGTACTGAGATGTAGCTGACAAGGAGAGATCATGTCTTAACATGACTGGAGTAACTACTCAATTAACGTGTTTTTTAATCAAGTAAACCTATTAAAGGTGCTGACTGTTTTTACTGCGTATATATTATTAATTGCTCTGAAATTAAAGGCTCTGAAAGGTTAGGATGCTTGAATACTTTCACAAAGCAGAAGCTGCTGTTTGGAGCGACATTTTTGTGTTTGTAGCGAGTTCTTATGCATTTTGCTTTCAACGGTCACTTACCTTGACTTGCTGATAGCTACCAGCTTCTGAATGCCCTGTGTCTGGATCAGAGACCTTGCATTTTCCGAGCTGTCAGTAATGATTTCATGGATGGTATTCAATACCGCAACCACTGTATCCTCTTCCAGGTTCTTTGCAGATCTCTGCTGCCTGCTGGGCAAATTTCTTACCAGCTCACCCATGGCATAGCTACCTAGATAAGGGGAAAAGATATCATTAGTCAGCCCTAATAATAATTTCAGCTTCCCATCCTGAATGATAAAACTCAACGGTGTTTGCCAGGTCAAAAAAACTTTATAATGCATGTGTTTTGAACCGCAAGACTGTAACCTAACGGTGTATTTATCATTCATTATTTCAAGGTGATTGAGAGTTGATACCCAAGACAAACTCCTCCATCATGAACGCTAAAAGGTATTGAGGGAAAAAGAATAAGCAATCTTTATTGAGAATTTTACAGCCAGCATCTATCATACTTCACAATGCCTGAGGCAAAAAGCATCCAGTAGCTGCTGCTAATGCCACATATTCATGCTAATACACGCACATGGCTTACTCAACTTAGCCTTGTAATAGGTCTTCTGGGGCAAGGTGTGCAGCCATGCATTTATTAACCTTCCCCCAGCAAAGGTACGAGTATCTCCTCCTGGGTGCAGTTAGCCTTCTCAGTGTATAGTACTGGAGAAAAAACAAGGAGTCCAGAGTTTATCACTCCCAGGTGTCCGTCTGTACCATTTGCCTAGCTACACCTCTGAACTATTACAAAAAGAACCTGAGGCATTAAGACAGAATCCCACCTTGCTATTTGTTAGTATCAACTTGGATGATGGCCCTAAACATGTGACCAATATTTCCTGGCCTGACAAGGTCATAGTTTAAACAAATGCATCAGTAAAATACAGAGGCATCTGGAGGAAAACTCAACTCACAGCTGAATCTTTCCAATTCCTGCTTATGGGCAGGTGAATGCTTATTTACCCCCTTGGACAGGAGCTAGCGAGCCCTGCTGAAGAACTAATCTGAAGAAGAATAAGTTGTTCGGTGTCCAGCTTCTACAAGCAACTACCATGCAAAAGGATGAGAAGGGAAGCAGGAAGCGAGAAAAAAGGGACAACTTTGGAGCCCGCTGCACTTCCCCAGGTTAGCTTAGCATGCCAAGGGCGAGAGTCCCACTCTAATCTAAACAGCAGGCCTAAGGAGCAACGTCTCTGTAACCACCACGTGCGACTAGCAGCACAAGTGCCATGTCAGCAGGAGCCAAGGAAGAGACAAGAAACCTCAACCCACCCAGTCCTCTGCACACCTACGCATACCCCCCGCTCCTGCAAAAATCTACATCTGTTTTTACTCCAGAGTTAGAGATTTCCCTCAACCCACGTCTTGTTTGAATGGGCTGGAAATACATTCTGAGATGACAGCCTTCCACTTGGTGGCTACAGAGTAATCTTAGATAGCGTGGATGGAAACGGCATACGAAATGGATCCTCAACACAAGTGACAGAAAATGTGAGGTCTCTAAGGGTATCCAAGATCCCAGCCTGGTTAGAAAAGTGCAGAAGATACCTATAAGATCTTTATTGCGACGATCCATGGAAAGGTTTCTCAGGGCAATAGACACAGCCCTCACAACCTTGTCAGAGTCGGACTGGAGCAGCTCCACAAGCACTGGCAAGCCTCTCTCCTTCCGCACTGTTGCACGGATGTACGTGGACCACTGATCAGAACACACAAGGGAAAAGAAACAACACAAAGTATTGTGAGTTCATAAACCTGCCCTTTCCTTGCCCCTGGCATTTCTTTCAGTGCTGTAATTCATTTTTTTCCCGGCAAAGACTAGTTAGGTTGTGTGTGCTGATACATCTATAACTTAACCCGTCATTCAAGTTCATCAAGCACCAAGGAAGAAAGGATGTAGAAGCTCATCCTACAGCTTAGCAAACTGCTGGGGAAAGAGGACAGAAACAGAAAGCAGGAGCATCATCCGCCAGCATCTGTTCTGTACACACCTCAGTGTGAAATCACATCCCTCTGGATTAGGAAAAAAGAGGTCATTTGAAGGGAACAGTAAAGCATCCAAAGCATCTGTTATCGTCCCCCACCTCCAATTTCATGCTTTTATTCTGTTTCATGATTGATTTTAAAATAAACTGTATTCAAGACAGCTGTGAAGCACCACCCTGCTGATCAGTCCCACTTTGCCGTCCGGTTCTAGAAGCGATCAGGCGTACCTTTGAGAGAACTGCCTGATCAGTGCAGGGGATGCTTCAGGTAGGATATCAGAGGACACTTTGGAGTGCAGTTTCTCGAGCAATCTGACAATCCGATGAATTAAGTATTCAGGACACTTAATCATCTAGCAACAGGCTTTTCTGAATGGACGAAGCAATGGTTCAGTGGTTTAAGTAGTAAAACCTGCTCGTGGTTAAATCATCATGAGCTCACTGACACTTCCACTATGTAAACACCATTGGTCCCAAAGATGCAAAACATCTTAAGTGGGCAAATAAGATGGCAGTAATTTCTTTGGCATTCCCACCTCCTTCCTCTTTAAAGGAGGTGTAAATGCTCGAAGTAACAGCACAGGTATAATGGGACACAGCTTTATTCTTTACTTACACAAAGGAAACGAAAGAGGCTAAAGAGTAGACTGCACTCACCGTCCAGTTGCCAGCACTGAGATTCTGCAAAGCCCCTGCTGCAGCTTCCAGAGTGTTGAAGTTCTGACTTTCGGTGAGGATGGAGAGGTACAGTCGGACCACATCTGGCTGGTACAGTAATTCAAAGCCTGCAGGTGGGGCAAGAGGAGAACAGAAGCACAGAAGGCAACGTATGAATAAACACATAACATACCTTTATTTAATCGCACGTAAGAACAGCCAAGAGAAAGCTACCCCACAGGAAGAAGGGCTTCTGCCACGTCCAGGACGTTTTATCCACAGCTGTTGAAAATGCTGCACACGGTAACTCATGCACAGGACATTCAGCTGGGCTGAAGGTTCCTGTGATTGGCGTCAGGTTGACAATTCTTTCTGAAATCTCTGCTATGCTATATGCTGCCTAGCAGGCTGAGTATACGTGTGTAATAATGAGGTGACAAGAGACAATTTTTGCCTGCAACAATTCTTACTTTGCATCTCTAGATTGGGTTGCAAATTCACCTGGCACTCCTGTTTTCATTCGAATCTATCTCAGTACCTTTACAGACACAAGCAACAGGGCCAGAGAGAGCAAGCTACACAGCTGTACCGGCCACCCCCTCCTCGCACCTGGGTGATAGAAGAAAGATGCAAAATGTCAAAGTGGTATAATCCCCAGCTGGTAGGGGCAGGGAGACACGTTGACTCCAGTTCAACTATTAGGTAAAGAAATACACCGGCACCGTACCACAGTGGGAGACTGCGACAGACACACACGTTAACTCAATATCCCCAGAGTCACCAGATCAGCTTTGCAGTTTAAACACGACGGGAATGAGAACTATTCCCAGCTCTGCCACAGATTTCCTTTTGTGATGCCGAGTAACTGACAGCAGCATCCGTGCCTGAACTTCCTCATCTAAAAGGTTAGGATTTATCCATCTACCCACATTAAAAAGGGGATCTTAGGCAAGACCTTCATCATTCCAAGTTGTTGCATATTTTGAAGCCATTTTTACCTATCTTTCTTCACTAAGTGTGGCATGACACACTGCATCGATGAGGGAAGAGC